TGACACAGTTGTGAGACTAGGAAACAATTAAAAGGGCATGATTTGTTATTTTTTAAAATTAATTTCTATCTCCTGACCCACAATAGTCAGCTTGATTACATTTAGCTTCATGTTATTATATTGAAACCATTTATAATCATTGAAGTCAAATATTACTTTAATGCAGTTTTCATTGTTATCCCTGTAGAATTCTTTCTCTAATGTAGGCCTTGTTTCAGCAGGATACTTAAACAGATGCCTAATTTTAACACACTGGGAGGCCAGTGGGATTCTGCAGGGGTTTAAGTGCCTTGCTGCTGTTAGCTGTCATCAAATTAATATTTTAGTAGCAATTAAAATGTGTCCTTTCAAAGCATGTATCTTAAGGTTAAAAAAGGCATTAATTACATACTTCATGGCGTTACTTTACTTTATTAAAGAATTTTTCCTGAAGTATATCTAGGCTATATGCAGATGTTCATTTCTACTGGAAGATTTTTCTTCCAGTAGAAAAATAACCTGGAAATTGGACTGTACAGATATTCATCCAGCCCCTGGGCTGGAGTACTTCACAGTCAAGCTCTTCAGCCAGGGGCCCCTAGAGGTCTTCTCTCAGGGCCTCCCCTGCCCTTAGGAGAGCTCGTTATTTGACAGACTGCCCCTTGCCTACGAAGGAGACAGGCCCTCAAGTAGTACTTGGCAGCTGCTGAAAATCATTAGCTACTGGAGACAGCTGGGGATAGTTCCTGTCCTGATAAAATTCCCTCAGTTCTGCCAAGGAAAGCCAGAATGGCCCAGAGCAGGGACTTGTAAGCCCATCTCACCATCACTGTTACTTACCTGAATGGAGGAGGGCAAGATAAGGGGAAGCAGGGTTGGGGGTACGCTTGGCTCCTGGGGTGGGAAAGCCCATGTCTAATTTCCACTAGGAACTCAGCTGATTGGCAGGCAGGGGCACTCTCCCAGGTCTCGCTAGCAGAATAGTCCTGCTGCTTGCACTCTTCCAGGCTGACCCAAAGGTGTATGTATCTGTTGGAGGAAGGGTGGGGTGGCACTCAGCCTTCACAGCAGAGCTCCAGCAGCTTTCCACAGGGACATGGCAGCCTACCTTGTCCTGCTGTACTCGATGTCAGCTGGGCAGCAAAGGGAGGTCAATGGGGCTGGGAGCTGGGCTTGGGGAAAACCTCCACACACCCATCTCTTAGCCCCTCCAGCTTTTAAATTGCTGCCCCTGTGACTTAGCTGAGTAGTGGGGACAAGGGGAAGCTGGAGGGACTGGGAGCCAAGTGTGTGGGGGCTTTCCCCAATTCTGGCTCCTAGCCCCTCCAGCTTTTAAATCACCACTCCTGTGGGGAGACATGAGGAGAAACAGTTGTGGCTGAAAACCAGACTGCAAGCCCAGATGCTGAAGGCTTTTCAGTCACCGTTCCTCCTGTTCAGCTGAACAGTGGGGTCAGGCAAAGGAAACCAATGGTGCCAAGCTGGGCTTGCAAAGACAGCTCACTACCCCTGCCACTCAGCTGAATGTGAGGGAGACAGGGCAAGGGGAAGCGGGCAGTGGGTGGGAGGTGCACTTCTGCGTTCAGCTCGTCACCTGGCACAGCACTTCTCTGCTTCTCACACTGGGAACTCTGATGGTGGAACAGGGGGAGCAGCTGCCTCCCATGCCTTCTTCAGACTGGAGGGACCATGGTCTCAGGAAAGCATAGGAGTCTTTCCCTAACCTCTACTTCTGCTCCCTAGGAGAAGTTAAGACAGGAGAAAGTGTGCAGATGTTCACTCTCCAGAAACTCTCCTGGGAGCAATTTAACCCTGGTTGTTCCTGGGCTATTTTCTCCCAAGCAGCCATTTTTGCTCATCAGCACACTTTTGTTTTCTACCAGAAGAACAGGGTTTCTTCCAATAGATGGCCTTAGTTAGGGTTAAATCAATAAAAGATTAAGTTAATTCTTTTGTTTGGCCAACTTGCTGTTAAATTCTGTCTGGTTCATCTCTTCTAAGTGAATGAAGCATGTGTCTCCAATTAAGGCTTTTGCACTTTATCATTTTGAATGCACATTTGTAGCTGAATCATTTTTTCAGTCTGAAAATGTAAATATTTGTTCTCTCAAGCAGCGTCAGTTATTTTCTTTGGTGGAGGGAGGCACGGGGAAAAAATTTGTAGAGCTAATGACTGAACAGTTTCTTTTTGGCCCTAATGTTTTAGGGGTCTTCTACCATGTCTTTCTAGAAGGGGACTTCCAACCCCAAGAACAACTGAACAGCCAGTCTTTAGGGGAAAACATCACACTCGGTCAAGGTCGAGTGAGCATTCTAGTATCAGACCATTATGCTCTATACATCATCTAGCTCCAGGAGGGTCGGCGCCACCTTCTCCACTTCTGACAAGGTTGCTATTAAGTGTACAGCACAGCGTTCATGTTCTGCCTCCCAGATGTCAGTGTGGTGTTGTACTTTCCTGAGCATATACAGTGCATTCACTCACTCATTCTGGCACAGTAGTGGAATCCTTTTTCATGATATTTATACTTTTCCCATATCCTCTATTCTGTCTATCTTCACTGTCCAAACAGTATTTTTTTACTGTTGAAATTTATACACTTCTGCAACATGAATGTTAAAAAAGACTGTTTTGTCCTTCCATTGTTTCATTTTGTTATGTATTCACATGAAAACTTTCAAAAAATTTGCATAGAAGATAAATAGTACACAATTTTCACATATTTCACTCTTGTTTTATAACAATAGAATAAGAAAATGACAATGGCCTATGCAATGCTAAAGTTCACTCCTAATTTTTAAATTGATGTTTTGCTTAAAATAGCAACATTTGAGAAAATAGATACTTGCAACTTTAATTTATCATATCATATAATTGCAGCATATTTAGTGCATGATAGTACCAGTACCATGATAGTACTGGACTTTGCAACAAAGTTTAACATTAAACTCTATCAGTTTAACGTTATATAGATCTGTTGTTCTTTCTTACCAGAAATGGTTGTAGTAATTTGTAATTTACTGATATTCAAATGTAATTTACCTATATTCCACTGATATGTACAGCATTAATTTCAGATTCTTAAAGCATCTGTCAGAAGTCAAACTGTTTAGAAATTGGGCTTTCAGGGTTCATCCACCCATACAGACCAAATGAGTTTAAAATATCTGCTTGGGTAAGAGCACAAAATTCTGATACACTGTTGTAAGAATTTGTACCAATTACTGGATGTAAATACATATTAAAAAATAATAGTAATGTCAATAAGGAACAATTACATTTCAACAAAAAATAAGTCAGAAAAGATGCATCACCTCTATAACAGTTGACAATTATAACTGGCATCTATTTTTGCCTTGCAGCAATATAAAAACTTTGCCAAACCAGAATGGTAGCATTTTATAGCCACTTTGCACCCATGAAAATGACTACATAAAGTGCAAGAAAAGTAGTGAATCAGGACCTGAGAACACCTGTCTTCTGTTAGTGTACTAGTGGAGGCTTTTTGTCTAGTTACTTGTCTATAAATATAAATAATGAAAAATTTGGAACTTTAAGATATTTTTCCAGAATTGAAACTAAATTTAGCAACACTAAAGATGACCAGGGACATAAGTTGGACTGTAAGTTTCTTCAAATCCATCTTCCTACAGGTGTACTAGTCTAAGCTTTGACCTTTAGAGATCAAAATGTATTGATCAAATTTCATTTGTGTTATTTCACTGTATCTTCATTCCATCTGCAGAACACATCAACAAGGAAGTCCTACACAGTCACCTCCTGCAGACTCATCCTTCAGCAGTCGTAGGGGAAGACAGCTTCCGCAAGTTCCAGTAAGGAGTGGCAGTATAGAGCAAGGTATCAAATAATTAGCTTATCATAATTCAAAATCTTTGGTGTCTTTTCTTATCCTCACTTCACTTGAAGATTGTTTATTTTAATAATTTTGGGGAGGTGGAACAAAGTATAGAATGCTTTATTTCTGCATGCAAAGCAATATAGTTTAATGAAAAAATAACACTGTAAGAAAGAATAGTAGGACTTGTTTGGCTGAACCATTTATTTTATTCCCGATATTCTTTTAATTTCTGTTGCAAGCATTGTATTTCCCTAGTGTGAACTTTCCTATGATCACAGATTTAGATAATGGGCTATAGAACCCTTTGACTGAACTTTTGACAACGTTATGGTTTTGTTTTATTAATTCTGGTTTGCTGATTTTTATTAACTGTTGTTTGTTATTGATAGGAGGTGGTGAAAGGCTTTTTAAAATTGTTCCTGGAGTGGGTAAAAGGCCAGTTGAATAGAATTAAAACTGCTAGTATCTGATGTATTACAACACTGGTCATCAACTATTATACCCTCAGCATGAAAAGAGAAATAGATGAAAAGAGAATCTTTCCTTCTTGAATAACAGAAAGTTGAGGGAGGTTGTTGTAAGAAGTATTGTGTCCAAACAAATACCAAACAAGTCTGAACATTACTGTTTTCTTTCCCAAAAATACAATGCAGCTAAAACAAGATGGCTATAAATCATGGTTACATTTCACCTGCAAAAATGTGTGCAAGTTTGGTTGTTTTCTATTATTCAAGCAAGAGTCAGTACTTGGATTGAATCTGACAAATTGTCAACTATTGTGAGTCTTTCTACTACATAGAGAGTAAGGAGCATACACGTCTCTAATGTTACTTTCCATATTTCCTGAGATTGTCAAACATTCTCCCAATACAAACAGTACTCACTTTAACTTTCTACCAGGCTAAATTACCATAGGTTTTGTCATATGAAAATTAATTTGTGGACTGGTTTTGTGAGCTATATGGGTGCGAGTCATCCTACTACATAATCAGTGACATATGAAAATGTTTTCCTCTTTCCACTACATCTGTTTATAAGAAATGTCAAATATATTTTATGCAGGTGGCTTTGTCTAATAATAAAAGTTGTGTTCAAGGCTTGTAATGTGATTTCATTATAAGCTAAAGGCTTATTTAAATGTGAACTGGTTACAAGCAACACTTACAGCATAAATTTTTGTGTCAGAAATTATATGGATAAATTGGGAGCTGTGTGAAAAAAGTAATATGATATTATTTTATAAAATCTATGCATTGCATATATTTTTCAAGAAATGGGCTTGACACAATATACAATAAGGAAATACCTGGCATACCTCTTTTGATTTCGTGTTAAGGGTTTCTTTTTGTTTTGGATATTCATTTACCTTCACTTTCTTATTATTGCTAAAAAGTGTGTTGTAAATAATACTAATAATAATACTTTAATTTAGTTATGTTGGCAGTAATTCTAAATGAAAGCAGAACTTACTATAACATGGAAAGAGGGGAGTTGAACTGGTATAGAATAGCAAAGTGAACAAACAAAACTGCAGGCTAAAATTAGCATATCTTCAGAGGCTGTTTTTGTTATAAGCACATAGGAGGTTGAGTATTGATATTTCAAACAATAAATACTTATCTCCAATGGTGGTTGATACTTGTGCCATAAGTATATAAGAGATAACAAAGCTGTTGGCTCTTGCTCTTACTTCAGAGTTCTATGTTCTTTCTTTCATATCGGTGAACATTTATTACTGAAAATGCAACCTCAACCCAAAGAAACAATTTTCTCCTTTACGTACTAATTTGCTGATGTTTGACTGAGTGGTTTGGGCATTTATTGAAAGTATCTCCTAATTGTTTCTGTTTAACTGCTGATTGTGGTTGTGAGTGTATTTGAAGTACTGAAGCCAGTAAAATAATGAAAGTAATGTCAATGTTTAAATGTTTATGTCCACTGAAATACAGACACGGTTACATTTAAACTTATTTTTTCTATCGAGCAACTTAATGAAATAAAGCTATGAATCCGAAGTATTTTATTTGGTAGAATGGATCAAATTCTACTGTTACAACTGTCCAATGCCCATCAGCCAGAATAAAATGGAGTAAGTGAGAACACTGCTAGACTGTAATCCAAACTACATTGAAATCAGTGGACTATTTTCCATTGACTGTAAAGCTATTAGATTGGATCCATAAATATGTCACAATTGACATGGACTGCAGGGGTGTAGGTGATGGCAAAATCTAGTTAATTTTGTGGATAGCAGCGTTTTTATATATTTTGTATTTTCTTGAGTTGCAAATAAAGTTGTTCTGTGTTGGCAGATATCGATATTCTGCATTGGAAGGGAATATTGTACACTGTAATGCATCTGAGGTATGATAAAATAGTTTTTAGGTTTAAGGCATTATGAACACGTGTTAATTCTTCTGTACTGAGAAGGGTGTGTACAAGTTTTTTCTTTTACAGCTAACTATTTTCAGAACATAATAATTTTGCATAAAGGCTATAAACAATTATTTATATAAACTATGAATGTTAGTGTTCTTTGTGATTTGGGTAGTCAGAGGACAGAGCAGTTTTCAGTAAAATAATTTGTTTTGTACAGCATTCTTGCTGTGGGATAAAAAGAATGTTGGAACGTTGGGGTGGGTGGCAGTTTTGCTTTTTACTGTGGCAGCTGATGAAGTTGTGGCACTGTTTTTTCAGTAGTAAATTATAACCTTCATGCAAGTAAACCATTTTCCAAGATTTACACTATATCACAGGCTTTGCATTTTGGTTGTTATTCGGTTAGGAGTTAAAAAGAAATTTTGTTTCAATTTCTTTACTAGACAATAACTAATCAGTTAATGCTCTTGCCAGTAGTTTCAGTTTGAAGCTCATGGAAAGCCAATGTTTCAGTAGTCTGTGGCCATGTGTAGACAAAATGAGGGGCGTGTGTGCATGACATTTTAAAGTGGGTTAAATGCTTTTGAACTGCTTTAATAGTGTTGGTGTTTGCACATGTCGGCTGCATATTGCGTAGTAATTCCAGCCACTGTAGCAAATTTGGTGCTGTAATGCACCTTAAATGACTTGGGGCGCAGCACACTAAAACTCCTCCTCCAGTCTCTGTGCAGCTCAGGGGCACTGCAGGAAGCCTGTCCAGGCAGCCTGGCAGCAGCCCGGGAAAGCAGGCTCTGCCCAAGAACAAAAAAAGCAGTGATTTTTTTTTTTTTCCTGGAGCCTGCCTGCCTACCTGCCTAAACTGTGTGGGGACCTGGTGCCCCCCGGGACTGCCTGAGCTGGGTGCCTGCGGGTGGTGCCACCTGGTTGGGGGGGGGCCGCTGCTGCCACGGAGGGAAGCACCAGCCCTCCTTGCAGGCCAGGGACCGCTCCGCCCACTGGCAGCTCGCCCTTCCCTCCCCACCACCAGACAGTGGGTGTGTGCATGACACAGGGGCTTAAAGGGCTCTAAATTAAAGCCATGTTTTTAAAAACCCACCACTTCAATTTAGGCCCCCCGTTTCATCTACGCATGCCTTTAGGCAGTTTAGAGATACTTAAAGCAGTAGAAACGCTGTCTTAGAAAACACATAAAAGAAACCTAAGAGAAGAGAGAGGCAAAAATCTCTATTCCATCACAGAGGTGGGTAGGCACTTGTGGTCAGGTATAGAGGTGTTCAGAGAACATTATCTTATAGATAAGGGGGGAAATTATTATAAAAGCAACTCTTTGAGGCCGCTAGCCCTTAATGGACATCAGTGCCTTTGTGTTTTGACAAAAAATAAACTACCAAGTTTATTTAATTTAGAAGATGTGATAACATGTTACAGTATTTTAAACCAGGGGTCAGCAACTTGCAGCTTGCAGCCCATGGAACCTTTGGATCCAACTCGTGGATGCAGGAGTTTGGCAGGATTCAGTGGTGGAGGAGCTTCTTCTGCAAGCACTCTCTCACTCCTACCACAGGGACAAACACCAGCTGACAGTGCTTTCCTTGTGCTGCTTGGGAGACAAATGATGGTGGTGGCAGAGTTCGAGCAGCTGCCCACAATCCTGCTTCTGACCCTGTGTAGCTCATTCCCACCCACAACTGGAAGAAATTGCTCACCCCTGTTTTAAACAATTACAATTTATATATATTTTTTAGCAGATGCACTTTTAAAGTTTAAGTTTCTCTCAAGCCATAGAAATGCTAATTATAATCTTAATAATGTTTGAGTGAACGTATTTATATCTGTTCAGTGAGATGCAAATATGGACTTTATTTTACAACCACACCAACTGTGTCACATCAATAAGTTACAAATTCCAGTACCCATGGATCTTATTGTAGGGTCTAGGATCTCTGCAAATGAAAACTAGACTCTGTAGGTGTACAAGCATCTATCATTTATATGCATAAATGTCTCTAAATATTTGTGAATAAACCACAATACAATGATCATTAGTCTAATCGGTGCTATTTTAATTGATATCATTTTGTTTCTTTAAATGGAAATTTTAAAAGGTTATAAAATAATATGAAGAATGTTTTCTTACCCTGTGCCTAAAGCAGTGAAATTCAAAGCCATGCTAAAGGTGATACAGTTCTCAATTCATCCATTGTGCTGAACTGTTATAGAAGACTTGCGTCAGTATTTGTTATTCAGGTATACAATATTAGAGTGGCAACACTAGGCAACTTTTATCCAAATAAAGTGGTGTTACTGCATGCATTTGATTTCTTTGTTATAACACTACATTTTTGTATCGTTACCTGGGTTTGGTGTTCTTGTAGAGGGCCGGCTTTGGCAGTTTCTATACTGTCTGTTCTCTGTGAAAATAAGGATCTTTTCTGGTTAAGAGTTTTAGGTTGGTCCCATACATTTGTGCTTTAACTGTTCGCTCTTACTGTTCAAGGAAACTAATACAAGCTGAAGATATACTGCTGCTTTTTCTCTATTTTTTCTAGCTCATGTAGAATGTATAATTACAGAAATTAAACAAGTCTTAGAGGCATAAAATTAAGAAATATTTCTTAGACCTCAATGAAATTGTGAAACCAATGAGAAAACGGATGATAGTTTTTAGTATGAAACTGAATTTTCAAAAGTACCTGTAGGCAAATAGATCACTTTCACTACATCTATTCTTATTTTTATTTGACTGCTCAAAAATTATTTATTTTTCATTAGGTTATCAGCATGATTTTACATTCCATAACTCTTATAACGATGTATGGTGGTAATCAGAAGATTTCTTGTGTCTGAGCTTTTTGTATATTGCTGATAATCTGTTGAGTTGAACCAGTTTACCCTTTCATAAATAACTGTTAGCCTGATCTAGTGGTCTTAGAAGAAAACCTCCCACTGGAGAAAGTAAGAGTTATATCTGAATAAGTATTGGTAACTATTGCCATGTCTGACTGAATTAGATGAAAATTAAACAAGCTGGTTAGATTTTAGATGCACGTAGGACAGTTCTATTAGTATTTATTTACAGAAGGGTTTCAAATGTAGGTTTCTTGAAATATTTTATAATCAAGATCTTATCTGGTGCTGCATAAGAAAATGGCTGCAGTATCTGAAGAAAAGCAGAGGAATCTGTTTGAAAACCTAGGAGTGATTTTCAGATATACTGGCATTCGATATTGAGAAATTAAGTGTCTTATGTATTTTCAATGTAACTCATAAGTAATCTAACATAGGTACTTCCTTAATAATGATGCTGTTCACTGGATACAAAGTAATTTAAAAATAAACTGCTTAATGTGGATAGAATGCAGTATACTGGCTGTATATTTCTTCAGTATTCTCATTAGAAATTCTAAAAGAATTTCACATGAAATAATCATTATATTTTTTAATAATTAAATATATTGTGAATATACCTTTCCACCTTTAATTAGCATGATGCCTACAATCTTAAGTGTTAGAAGAGACAGAGTACTGTATGTGCCTGGTTCTGAAATCTCCCTGTAGCCCATAAGAATTTTGTTTGAGTAAGGTCACAGTATTGAACCCTATCAATGAAATCCTGATCGGAGGTCCAGCAATAAAAATCTGAGCTAAACTAAGAGCAGAGAATAAGCTTTTCAGCAAAAGATAATCAAAGTGGATAACATTTTAGTTTTAGATTCCAACTTTTTCAGCATTGTTTTGTTTTGTCTTCATGTCCCTGGTTTTATTTTAAAATTGTTAGATGGCACTGCATATTTGGAGCCAGGTTGTGGAACATTTATTCATGTTGATGAGTATAATTTATGTATATGAGTATTCCTTTTGACTTTGATGAGAATAAACCTGTGAATAGGTACTCAGTGTTGCCAACTCTTACAATTTTATTGCGATCATCATAATGGTTGGTATTTTTCTTAATGCCCCATTTTCTAGATTGCATTGATTTACTGGAGTGTCCTAACTTCTGGTTTGAAAGAAAATGCATGTTTTAGCTTTTCTTATTGTGAAAAAAAGCTGAAAAGATGAAGTGAATGAACCCTTATGCCTTGTAAACTAGAAAGCATATGAAAAGAGTCCAAAATTATTAGTACAATCACATAACTTTTCACACCTGAGTTACGTTTCATGCACACTTAGGGTTGGCAGTGCTTTATACAGCAGAATGACTAAGTGTTCCACAATCCGAACATTTGATGACTTCATTATTAATGTTAATTTTAAATAAAAAGTCACAGGCTTTATAATTTGCCATGGTTTATCATCTTAATTTCCCATGTTACTTTTACATATGCTGCTATATAGCTAGTGTACATGCCATTGTCACATGTAACACATTTCTTTGTCTAACTTTAAATTTGATGATTTCTAATTGTTTTTGTTTCCATCATTCCGTGCATTTAATTCATTGAAGGACAAGAGAATTATAACTCTTCCTCGAAAGGTAAATATTTACATACATTTTACTAACACTTTACAACTGTTAATTTTCACTTTCCCCCCTTATTTTCCATGTCGGTATTCAGTCAAGAATAAATCAACTAAAAAGGTACTTTGTCAAAAATCTGTATGTTGTTTATTTTATTCCTAAATAGAAATTGAAAATTATGTGTCTTGTGATTTCAATTTTGGTATTGAAATGTTACATGTTGCATTTAATCTGAGCCCTGTTGGTGCTTTGTGTGATATAATAGACAGCAGTGTAGGTTAAAGTTTCATTCATAGGCTTAGATTGTACCCCAGGCTTTCCTCAGAGGCCATATAAAGCCTTGTACTTGGTTTTCACTTCTCACAATAATGGGTAGGATGAAGCAATAGCACTATTGTTTTCTGTCCTCCAGACCCTCAGTTGGGACCCAATCAAATCACAGGGAGAATGCTTAGAGAGTAGAATTACCAGAAAGAGGGTAGGTATCAACCTTCCTCCAGATGCTGAAAGATTCTTAAGAAATGTAGATCTATTATATTTTCTGGGCCTGGGGGCAATCACTACTAGTGGGAGTTTTTGGCAGCATGGTGTTATGCCATTAAGAAGCTAAGAAGCTACTATGGGCCAGATCTATTCTGAGGGCACACACCTGGATCCCATGAACTGTGCTTCTCCCTTAGAATCAGCAGACTTTGTTGTGTGTCCAGTTCCTCCCTGTAGAGATTGGGCAGGGATTTCTGTGACTGGGGTTCTTTTCCCCCTTCTTTTTTCTTGAAGTAGGCCCAAGCCAAAATTTGGGTGAAACTTATGCAGTCAAAGAAGAGTTCATGTGAACCATATTTAATTACAACAGTAAAACCCTGTACCACAGCAACCTTAATTACAGAGACAAGATCAGATTAGGTCATTATACTTGAGTCTCCTTCCAAACTGTGTATTAATTATCTGAAACAAACCGGATAAACTGGAACACAATTATGTGATGAGCTTGAACCAGAATGTCAAATACAGCCACCTCGCTGCTTTGAGGAAATTTGGATCCCATCTTCAAAGATCTTGGCCGTCTCACACTAGTGTCCTGGAAACAATGGGTTGAAGGAAGTTTAAATTCTTTCTGTGTTATATATCTAACTTTTAAATTTAGCCCTCTAAAGTGTTATAGGGTGACCCAACTTTTCACTTTATTCTGTGTTTCTTATACTTTGTTTTCACTGAACGTTCATACATGGACAGATCCTGCAGTACTGATAGGGACAAAGCTCCCATTGCGGCAGTGCTGTCTGGTAAGAAGTCCAGCATTAATTCCTTTAGTCCAGGACATTTCTTCAGCATGATTAAAAAATAATAAGCTAGTAAAGGATGCTGCTAGTTTAAATATTTAAATATAGTGAACCAAATATCTATATTTCTGTGTTAGTAGTGACATCCTAAATGATTGGAAGGGAAATGTTTCTTTTGAAATGAATTTGCCACCTTTGCTTTCTTTCCTTTTTAAATTTCTTTTGACTTAGACAATGAACTCAGTGATGCCAGTTTAAATTTTTAAAGTTTTTTCAGGTTCTAAATGCACTGTTGGCAATTCAGACAATGCATGGAGATCTTTAGGTTTAAATGCAATTGATTTTTATTAAATTATTAAGCTGTAACATGCCTATAAACCTTAGATATATAAACACTTGTTCATTATAGTCCAAATTTAATTTGTTGTGGTCTCTTTAATATCATTGGACACCTATACATGAGCAGTTAGGCTGCTCTAATGCACGGTAATTACAATGCTCCAGCAGCCTCCAGCGTCTCGCCTATCAGCATCCCCGCACTTCAAAATGGCAGCAGGGGCACATTATCTAAGGCTTGTTCAGTGAGCTTTAGATAAAGTGCCCTCATAGCCATTTTGAAGTGTGGGGATGCTGATAGATGAGAAGCTCTGAGCACTTTAATTAGAGCAACTTAATTAGGCCTTTTACGACCAGGTCACTAAATCATTGGATGCAGGGGTGGCAGTGGATATAGTTTTCCTAGACTTCAGGAAGGCTTTTGATACTGTCTCTCACCCCATTCTCATTAGGAAGCTGGGGGACTGTGGCGTAGACACCT